ATAACCAGGCCACGATCATCGCCATGGACCATGACCATGATACCAATAGTTCGGGTAGACAAACCCCAAGAATTCTGCCAAACATGGAGTGCGGGCTTCTTCTCGTCAGGCTTAGCCGACGGATCTTCAACGGTGATGCCGAACATCTTGCTGAAATTTTGGCCTAAGCCGTGAGACGTCCCTCCTTGAATTCCGCGGCCTGTGGCTGGGATATAACCTTCGACTGTGGTGGTGTAGAGGCCCCCTGCAAATTTTTCCTTTTCGGTCTTCTGACCCCTGATGACGGGAATAGCAAGAAGCTCCTCGTAAACGTGGGCATAATGCTCAAGAATTTGCAGGACTTCTTCACGAGCACCGCCTTCAGTCAAATGCGCGGTGTGGCCTTCTTGCCAAAGAAACTCACGAGTGCGAAGGAAGGGTTGGGGGTTCTTGAACTCCCATCTAACAACAGAGTTCCACTGATTAAGCCGGAGAGGCAGATCACGATGACTTCGAATCCACTTGGCATAGTACGGATACATAACTGTTTCCGACGTGGGACGAATGGCAATTTTCCGTTCCAACTTGGAATTTCCTCTTTCGAAAACGTTAGCAAATGCATCGGCAATGAACTAGATATACTAAATATTATGGGGGTTTGAAACCCAAAACCTACGCGTGAGTGACCCAGGCAACCTCAGCAGCAAACCCTTCTATGTGGTCCTTCTCCTTCTTTAAGACGTCTTCGGAGACGAACAGAGGGAAAGAGCAATTTTTAACACCCATCTTCTTGATTCGATCATCAAACCAGTTTTGGATCGTTTCCCAAATGAAGTACGAGTGTGGCTGGGAAATATCCATATTAGCTAGCAGCTCAAAAATGGTGACCACAAATCTGGTAAACAAAAAGATAAAAAAATTGAAAATGAAAATACCTTCAAAATAAAACAACCTGATACATCGTAATAATCTAACATCTGCCCTTTCAAGAGAACCTGTTGATACCAACCTGCGAAATCCCCCTCCTTCGAGACATCGATACCGATAAGAGCGGGGCCGTCAGTTTTCTTCTTGGGTGCTTTCTGGGAAAGTTTATTTTTCGATTCCATGCCTATGCCTTTGTTGGCCAACTTTCCCGCCTTCTCAGCAGCTTGCTTCTCCTTTTTAGCAGCTTTTTTAGCAGCATTTTTGGATATCTCGCCGGCCGGGGAGCTCTCCCCTCCAGCGGCGGGGTCCATCGTGCGATCAGGCAGGGATTCAGTTGCAGCTGGTAAAGAGCTTGCTAGTGCGTCAACTCGATCCTGCGCTTGTTGTACCGGCATGTCAAACTTCCTGAATATTCAGTATAGGCAAATAATCGCAACTCACTTGTGTAATTGGTGTGTTTGGTAACTGGGCGGGAGGAGTCACGTCGGTAAAGCAATAAGTGGGACAATAACCCTCACCGCCTTTGGGCGGCAGAATGGGCATCAAGCCAAAAAACAGAGGCCGCAAACTCTCTGGGCGCAATAGACACCAGCAAGCTTCTATCTCCACACTAAGACCCCTCCTTCGACTCTTTAATTGGACATGGCAGGAATTTTTGAGGCTCCCCGGAATGCGGGACAACTCTGTGAGCTTTCTCTCTACTTTGCAATGTGGGAAGGAGTCTATGGAACTAACAGCTCCCCACAGTTCTTGGAGGACAGAAAATCAGTGGTTCTGATATCAGAGATCAGAATGGTATGTGACTATCGAATTAAACATGTCAAGGTACCCAGCTTACACAGTATTTTTTAGTTCTTGCGACTCAAGCCATTGCCAATGTGGTGAAAAGTTCCTTCGGCCCCTCCGGGCTCGACAAAATGATGGTAGATGATATTGGGGTATGCCATGCCCTTTCTTCTTGGTTGAGCAGTTGAATTAATACGGTAATAGGATGTTACTGTTACCAATGATGGAGCAACTATCCTAAGCTTGTTGGACATCGAACATCCCGCGGGAAAGATCCTGGTGGACCTAGCAAAACAACAAGACAAGGAGGTAGGATCGCCTTTTTCCGCGCCATTTATCTGTGCCGTCTAATTTAGCCTGTCTAGGTCGGTGATGGAACCACTTCCGTTGTTTTAATAGCAGCCGAGCTTTTGCGACGAGCGAACGAGTTGATGAAGAACCGGATACACCCCACTACAATAATCACGGGATACCGATTGGCACTTCGGGAAGCCGTGAAGTACATGAATGAGAATATCAGCACCAAAGTTGAGCATCTCGGAAGGGACAGTTTGATAAATATTGCGAAGACATCAATGTCAAGCAAAATTATAGGAGCTGATGCAGACTTCTTCGCCAACATGGTTGTTGATGCGATGCAGCAAGTCAAAACTACGACGCAGCGAAATGAGATCAAATACCCAGTTAAGGCTGTCAACTTGCTCAAGGCTCATGGGAAGAGTGCTACTGAATCTTTACTTGTCCATGGATATGCTCTAAATTGCACAGTTGCTTCACAAGCCATGGTTACTCGGGTTACTGATGCAAAGATTGCTTGTCTTGATATGAACTTGCAGAAAGAGAGGATGAAACTTGGTGTTCATATCACAGTCGATGACCCACAAAAACTTGAGAAGATCCGTGAAAGGGAGTCTGGAATTGTCCTCGAGAGAGTGGAGATGATACTAAAGGCGGGCGCGAATGTCATCCTCACGACTAAGGGTATTGATGATCTTTGTCTCAAGATGTTCGTCGAGAAGGGCGCGATGGCAGTTAGGAGATGCAAAAAGGAGGACCTTAAACGAATCGCCAAGGCTACGGGAGCGACGCTGGTTAGCACACTATCCGATCTTAATGGTGATGACAAGTTTGAACCATCCAGCTTGGGCCACGCAGAAGAGGTGGTACAGGAGCGGATATCCGACGATGAGTGTATCCTTATCAAAGGAACCAAGGCCCACACTGCCGCGTCGATTATTCTCCGTGGTTCAAATGATTTTCAACTTGATGAGATGGAACGTTCCGTGCACGATTCTCTCTGCGCTGTCAAGAGGACACTCGAGAGTGGAACCATCGTTCCGGGAGGTGGTGCCGTTGAGACCGCCCTGCATATCTATCTCGAGGAATTTGCTGTTACAGTCGTAAGTGTTTTCTTGAACTCCCCTTTTGCGCAACGACCAATAGCGACGAGATCGCAACTAGTACTATATAATCGAAAACAGGGGTATTCACGAAAGTGATGAATAACAGGGCTCCCGCGAACAACTCGCCATCGGCGAATTCGCCCAATCCCTCCTCGTCATTCCCAAAACCCTGGCTGTAAATGCAGCTAAGGACTCATCCGAGCTCGTCGCCCAACTCCGTGTCCGCCATGCCCTCTCTCAGCGTGTTCAGGAGGGAGAGGCTAACGCGGAAGAGAAAGCCATCGCCAAGAAGAAGATGTATAAGAACTACGGCCTTGATCTAACAAGAGGCAAAGTTGTGGATTGCGTCAAGGCGGGTGTCTTGGAGCCCAGCATGAGTAAAGTGAAGCAGTTAAAGAGTGCGGTGGAGGCTTGCATTTCGATTATGAGGATTGATACGCTGATTAAACTTGATCCTGAGAGGAAGGCTGAGGGTGATGGGCATGGGCACCACTAGACGATTGGGAGCTGTAGCCCGTCAAAGAACAAAAAAGAAAAGGAGTTGAAACCAATCTTTTTGCTGGCTGGGTTGATACCGTACATCTCTTTTCCTTTTCCTGTTTATTAATTAATGTCTAGAGGAAAGAAGAGGACCCGAAGAAAAAATTTTTTTAAGTCTTCATAAGGAACTCATCAAATGAATATGGATATCTGGAAGTTAATACTTGTCGTTTGGCTTAAAATACTCTTTTCCGCATCCCGCCTCGAGATTTGAATAGTCACCTTATTTTCACAGCACATTTAGACTCTGTTGAAATTTCGAAGGTAGAGAATAATTAGCTCATCTTAAACTGTGTATGTTGTGATAATACACACGTAACCTGGGTGTGCAATTCGTCTAGTCGTCTAGAGAGACAATGGGGAATAAATATGAATAACCGAAAAATGGACGACAGAAACGGTAATTCTCGCTAGCAAAAACGCCTTATAATAACTTCGCTCTGAAACTTGAGGAAAAATTACACGCAAAACGAACTCCCCAATGCACATAGCAGTACCAGCAGATGCGGTAATGGACCTTTCCCCCTATTCATCTTCATCGTCACCTGAGTCCTTCACATCCGCCCATCCACAACGCCATCTCCGTCCTTCACCATCCCCGCCGATCCTGAGGTCTCGCGCTGCAGGGCCCTTTCGCCAGCATCGAGCATGTAAGTCATCGCTAACGGTGATAAGCTCGCCACCATACGTCCAAGAAACGCCAGATACTTCCTTCTTATGCCCTTCAATTAGCGCCGCGCCATGCTTGTATATCGGGATGGTATCTTCCAGACGTCCCGACAAGCCTACACTGCTGGAATGGGAACTACGTAGGTTGTGGCCGTGTAGTGGCCGAGAAAATGTTTGGTTGGAAGCGTTATTAACAATACCTGTGGAGGACGAAAGGGAAGAAGAAGCAGCGATGAATGGCGACGGTAGATATCGTTCATCTGTCGGAAATACGATGGCGCAGTTATCACTGCTGCCGACTGCGAGCATTTCACTTTCGTCATTGACTGCACGGCGGACGGCGATTTTGACAAAGAATGTGGCGACTTGAAGGTGTGGATGGCGGAAGCCGTACAAGGGCCCTAGGCCCGGTTTGGCCTCGTCGCTTGGGAAGCGCTTGAAACTTGAGCTGGATGGTGTCATTTCTGGACAGCTCCCTAGAGTCAGGTGGGAGGTCGAGTATGCGTAAACGCTGCCATCCCGGCATAGGGTGTAAAGCCTGCTCCCATTACCACTGAAGGCCATCGATGTCAGTCCGAATTGGCGGTATTTTTCGTGGCTCTCTGGTTGTCTAGTGATGGCTAAGGGGACAGGTGTTTTGCGTCGTAAAGAGTAGGTAGTTCGCAGGTCCCACAACCTCACACATGCATTTGATTCGCCGCAGGTTACGAAGAGGTTTTCACGGCCAGGGTGTAGAAATGCGATAGAAGTAACGGATACATCGTCCCGACGTGCTAGGGCTTCTGCTTCCGAACCAGTTTTGGACCGGGCCCTTTCCGCATGCGCTGGCCAGATGCTGTTGGATACCTGGGGATACTTCATTTTAGTGGACGCTCTTGCAGAATCATCCACGTCCGATGTAAGAGAACAGCGTAACTGCATTGTAGGCTTTTCAAAGGCTTTGTATCGTAGATCCCAAATATTAACGCTGCCGTCACGACTACAGGTTGCAACAACATTGTTATTAGAAGCGGGCTGGAATTGAACGCGTTTGACAGATGAAGTATGCTTCGACAGGCAGTATATTTGGGTTTGAGTAGTCATATCGATAATCCGTGAGGTTTGATCACCCGACGCAGTAGCTAAAAGTCTGTCGTCAGAGGAGAATTCTAGGTCCATAATGGAGTTTGTATGCGGTTGAAATGATAGATAGGTTTTGGAAAACCCCGGTTTCGCGTCCTTAGCTGAGTCTAATAGTCGGACTCCTCCTTCTTCGTCTCCAATCGCCACCAGAGAGTTGGCTGGAATTCATTAGTTAGAGCTGCAAATTGTAACGGGGAATTAAAGAGCGAAAATTACATACTGTGACAAGAAACAGTGCAAAACGGTAGAGTGAGACGTTCTCCCCTCTGATCTTTATAAGAGCATTGATGGAGGTCATCAGCTAAGCTATAGAAGTCGGACACCTCATCCCGCCAGGCTGTTTCCAGAGTAATTAGCGACAATAAGTTTAAAAAAGCACAAGAGATGTACCACACACCATTCCCATAGTCATATCGGTGTGTCAGCGTCCCCAGTGTATTACCCGAAAGGCTGCGTATAAATATTTGACTGGTGGTTGAAGCGTATGGGAT